ATCTCAATTATGTCCTTTTCTGATGGGGGAGACCCAGCTTATAGAAGCAAAAGGACACTACCAAGACTATATAGAATATATTTATTTAAGATCTTATTTATTTTTAAAAAGATTTTATTTATTTATTTGACAGAGAGAGAGATAGTGAGAGAGAGCACAAGCAGGGGGAGAGGGAGAAGCAGGCCCCCTGCTGAGCAGGGAACCCGATGTGGGGCTCAATCCTAGAACCCTGAGATCATGACCTGAGCCAAAGGCAGAAAGCCACCCAGGTGCCCTAGAATTTAAATGTCAATATTGAATCCTGAGTTTTTCTATTTCTTCCAATGACAAAAAGAAGAGAAAATTAGATAAAAATTATTTAGGAAAATACCTGCAAATTATACATCTGATGAGGATCATATCCAGAATACAGAAAGAACTCTGGCAACTGAATAATAAAAAGAGAAATGGCCCAATAAAAAGTGGGCAAAGGCATAAAATAGTTCTCCAAAGAAGATATACAGATAGCTAATAAGAACATGAGAAGACACTTAACATTAGTAGTCATTAGGGAAATGCATATCAAAACCACAGTGAGATACCACTCATAGCCACTAGGATGGACATCATAAACAAGTCAGACAATAACAAGTGTTGGTGAGGATGTGGAGAAACTGGACACCTCATACATTGCTGATGGGAAGATACAATGGCACAGCCGGTGAAAAAAACATTCAGTCCCTCAAAAAGTTAAACATACAGTTACCATATGACACAGCAGTTCAGTTCCACTCTTAGGTGGGTACCAAAGAGAATTGAAAAAAAAAAAAAGTCCATACAAAAACTTTCAAATATTCATAGTAGCATAATTCATAATAGCCAAAACATGGAAGCAAATGTCCACCAACTGATGAATAGATCAGTAAAAATAGATAAACAGAATGTGGTATATTCATACAATAAAATGGGATTTGGCCATAAAAAGGAATGAAGTATTGATACATGCTAAAACATAATGAACCCTGAAAGCTGATGAGAGAAAAACTCTCTAAAGACCCACCAGGGAAACCATTCTAGATTTCTTTCTATGTCAGCATGACTGTACATAAACTTTGTTCAACCTAAAAGCCTGATTTATGGCCCACCAGGCATGCACTGTGCATCTGCTTTGTGAAGGAGTAGTCTAAAGGAAAACCTTCTTGTCCTTGAGATATTGATCAATGTTCCTGTTCCCTGAATTCCTTGATGACAAAACTCTTGATTCCTGCCTTTATGCTAATCCATAATCTTTTGAGCTTCTACAGAATGTAAAAAGTATATAACCTTGTAAAAACGATTCATTCTCCAGAGTACTTTCTTCCTTATGAAGAGCATATTTCCCAGCAGCTATCCTAACTTGGGCTCAGATAAAATGCTCTTTCTTCCTGTTGGAGATTCTAAAAGATTTGCTCATTTTGCATTGACAAAGCATCATGCTAAGTGAAAGAAATCAGTCATAAAAAGCATATATTATATAATTCCACTTATAGGAAATGTCCAGAATAGACACATTGAATAGATACACAAAATGGATTAGCAATTTCTTAGCTGCATGCCAAACACCTACATCAGCTTTGATGACAACAAGCTTTTAGATTAAACCTCTCAAATTAATAAAACTGTGATATCAGTCCACTATTAAGTCAATTAGCAAAGACTCAGGCTCTCTTACCTATTTTGAGAGGGAGGCAGGCTCCCAGCTGTGCAATGCCTCTTAGGCCATTACCGAGGATTTTGATACTTTTTCCCAGTGAAAGTATTTCAGCAGGGGAAATCCAGGATCTGATGTGGGTTCTGAAAGATCACTTTAGCTGCTGGATTGAGGATGCATTCAAGGTGACAGAGTGGACTGGGAGGGAACCAGTGGGGGTGACTGACGTATATGCCCTCGGAACGGGTAACAGTCGGATATGCGCGTCATAGCACACACACGTGCGTGCACGCAAGCGCACGCACACGCACACACACCCAGCTCGCTGTCTGTGTGTGGAGCTCCACAAGCAGAGGGTCGATCAGCCTGCCTTCGCAGTAGAAACAGATGCACTGGGCTCACCCTCGGAAGGGAACCGTGTTCAGCCCTCATTCTGCGGCTGTGCCCTGTCCGTAAAAGTGGGCTCACCAGCCTGTCCCGGTGCAGACTCTGTGGGCACCGGGACCAACTGTGATGCACGGAGAGGCAGGCTGTAGCCGAAATGCCCCATGGGCCATTCAGGAGAGGGCTGGGAAGGCACTTCTTTCCTTCAGCGGCCACGTTGCTTCCTTCCTGTCTGGCCTTGATTTGTGGTTCAGTCGCTGCGGGCTCTTCACCCTTGCATGACCCTCGGGGCCTGCAGAGCCCCGAGATGCATCACACGGAAAGAACAGGTTCTGGATATGTCTGCCCACTTGGGAGGAAATGGGGTAGCCCCGGCCCCTCCCCAGGGACAGAGAGCGGCAGAAGACCACGAGCACACAGCATGCACCAAATGTGATGGTAAAAATGCTGCTGCACGTTTTCAATTCCCAAGGACACCAGCTTTAAAGACTGAAGGCAATGCTCGTTTTTGAGGATGAGCGGCCTTCTGAACGTGAAAGGATCAGGTGGCTTTGATTTATCATCATCATGAGAAATGGGAGTTGTTTTCTTGTTTGTTTTTGTTTTTGTTTTTTTAATCCCACTGCTCTGCAGGAAATGCTTTGAAGTGCTTGACAAAGAGCCCTGGTCTCACCGGCCATCCCTCTAGGCCCTGGGATCAGGTAGGAGGGCCAGCCCGTTATTGTCTTGCCAGCCCGAAACCTTGAACTTCTTGCATGTAGGAGTAGTTCTTAGCTACGGACATTTCCACCTGATGCCTTCCTATGCTCCTGTGGCCCAACGAGCTCCCGCTTGGCTTGATTATTCAGGGCTCCAGTGTTGGCCTGTCTCTCTTGTGAAGTCTCTGTGCTCGACATCCCCAAGATTCTGGAGGCAACACCCGAAATGTAATGCTGAACTTGGACAATGAAGCTCACCCAGAGGAAACACACCTGGACGCAGGCAGTTAATATTGGGAGTAGGGGCCCTCGGGGTGACAACGAGCCCCACTGCCAGTCACCTGAGCTTCGGTGCTTCCTATGCCTAAACTTGATTTTTGTGTGTATTTCTTTAAGCTCTATTTTAATGCTTCAGAAGCTTAAGCAGGACGGGGGGTGGGGGGAGCAGTTCTGAGAAGTGGTTTCGCATGAGGATCTAGACACAGGGGTACCAAGGTGGCAGCTCATCCCTCCTCTTCCAGGCCAGATGTACAAGCGTGCTGAGACACCGTGGCCCTGGGGCCTGGGGGGGCCGCCTCGGGTCCCGAGCTGCCTCGGCCAGCTACCCTTGTGGTGCCCGGAGGTTTGCGCTTCCTGTAGGGGGTCTGCACACCTGAAGATGGTCAGCACACACGGTTCCAGGCCGCGCACACGGGCTCGCCCAGTTCTTACGGACCTGGATGCCCCGCAGCGAGGACCTCTCGAAGCCAGATTTCTCATGGGTGCCAGCTTTCAGCTCCGGCTGGCCTCCGCCGGGGACCGTCCAGTGGACAATTCCTCCCACACCCTGAGCGCTGCCGCGGCTGCGCACTCTGCTCCGTGTCTCCCAGAGCAGGTGTGGCGTCAACATGCCCCAGCCTGGCGAGGACTTTTAGGATGCCTGACTTAGGAACTCCCCCGATGTTTAGAAAGGTACCCTGGGAATAGACTTCTGGTGCCAGCAAGCTTGGCTGGCCAAGAACAGAGAGCATATTCCATGAAAGAGGAAACACCCCTTTTCCTGGCTTTTTGCCAGACCGTATAGGGAAGTGGGTCAGCTGAACTGTCTCCAGCCGGATGCAGTCCCTCCTTGTCAGTGTCCCAAGGGTAAGCGACAGGTCTTTTATCTGGGTGGCATTTTACAGCATGTTGTTGCTTTGATTGTTAACACCCCCCAACCCTCAAGGAACTAATCAGTTTGTTTGCTTAATGTGTTTTTTATGCTTTGCATAAAGAATAATAGAATTTTGGGGCACCTGGGTAGCTCAGTAGTTAAGCGTCTGCCTTCGGCTCGGATCCCAGCGTCCTGGGATCGAGCCCCACATCAGGCTCCCTGCTCCGTGGGAAGCCTGCTTCTCCCTCTCCCACTCCCCCTGCTTGTGTTCCCTCTCTTGCTGTGTCTCTCTCTGTCAAATAAATAAAATCTTAAAAAAAAATGATAATAGAATTTTGGAATTGGGATGAATCCCATCCTAGTTCCTAAAGCGACGGAGTCCTGGGGGTTAAGGGACTGCTGAGGCCCCCTGCTGCATTTGCTGCTCCCCAGGGCGCTCCTGCCATGCGGCCCCCACACAAGCTTGGTGCAGACATCTCCCTGGCAGGATGCGATTTCAAGCTCTACACAATGGTGCTGGGTTAATGTTCCATCTGCACTTAAGTGTCTTTTCTTTTAGAGTTTTTGAAAAAGTGTATTAAAGAATTCGGGGTCTTTGTGCATACACATCTTGGGTGGGGGATGGAGGGTTTGAAATTAATCTGAAAAACGATAAACAGAGAGTGAACTAGGGAGCCCGCTGGGGGGCGGTAAATGGATTCCATGCTATGTGGGCCTCACAGACCAACTACTGGATCCTTCCTTCCCCAACCTCCCCTCCCTACCCCTTTTCCATCATAACAAGAGCTGCCATTTGCCCACCGGGTATTGTACAAGACCCTCAACCCTCCCAGTCACCCTATGATGTAGGGATTATTATTCCCATTTCACAGAGGAGGACGCCGAGGCTCCCAAAGTTGAAGTCACTTGCCCCCAACCACACAGCTTGGTGAGTGGCAGAATTGTATTTATCTGATTCCAAGGAGTAGAAAGCCTCTCTTTCCACTTCAGGTTGGTGAACACATCACTTTGCATCTCAGGGCCCTGCTAAAGTCCTGCGACGCAGAGAGGTCCCACCCCATAGTCTCCCTGCTTTATGCAGAGGACCTGTGCTGGCAAGACCGACCCCTTTGTCTACCTGCAGAACTCTCCTTCCGATTCCGGCAGCAGGAGGGAGGCCATGGGGTTTTTCATCAGATCGGCCACTGCAGGGTCCCTGGGTGTCACATAGAAGAAAGGAACCCCAGTGCTGTTGTTCAAGGGGCCATCGCTGATGGGCAGGCAGTTCCCAAACGGCAGTCCTGGGATCTAACAAACAGCGAAAAAGGCTTTTTCAATGCAGGGTTTTGGATTGAGCTGAGGCAGGAGCTTCCCTTGTGTCTCTGGCCAGGAAATATAGCCACGAGGATGGCATGGCATCACCACGGTTTCGACAGGTAGTAAATGAAGGCACAGTGGTTCCCAACTGACCCAGTTCACCCAGGGATGGCTCCAGAATTTCTACAGAGGAGCTGAGCAGGGGCATTCTGTTTGGAAGAACAGCTAGGGGGTTATTCTTGAAGCTCCTGCATATACATAGAAAAATGCTCCCTTTACGAAATTTAAAGTTATTTGTGGGAAGGGCGATGAAATTTATGGAGGGGTTCTAGAACTCTTTCCACAAGCTGCCCGTGGAGGCCCCACTCTCGCAAGGTTTTGAAAACTTCAGGGATAGAACTTAGGTCTTAACTTTAATATCTTATGTGATTTTTGGACTCCGGGAACTTTCTATTACTGTTTCTTTTAGAGCCACACCATTTTCTTTTTTTTTTATTGTAATCAATATTTCATTATATAATTCAGCAACTCACCCTGAAGTCACAGAAACATGCTACACTCATTTTTGTTCATGATCATCCTGTGGAGGAGGTGAAGTTCTCAGACATATGTGCAAATATTTCTTAGGTTTTCCCAAGCCCTGCTGCGTCCTGCAGCCCAATCTTCATGAGCTTTATTTACCCTTTACAGAGTGCTCTTTATTGTCACTGAGCTCAGAACTCAGGGGCTGTCTTTGCATAAAGCGTTATATGGTAGCGGTGTGTGTAGACTTGGAATAAGGGATGGCTTTCATCTTTGAAGAAGACACAATGTTCAGGAGTCTGCCAAAATGGTAATATAAGTTCAATTCACAGATTCTGTTTTTCAGCTTGTCATAACTGCCTAGAGTCATGCTTTGCACACGTGATGTGTACATGGGAAATGTTCCCTGAATGTATTGAATTTGGATTAAATGTCAATACTGGAAAGGGGAATTCCTAACAAAGCTAAGAAAAGAGATGTTGAAAGTCAAAGTATCTTCAGTACATTGGCACTAGACTTTTAATTGCTTGTAACAACCTGTGTATTTTTTTAAACATTCACTCTATCTTTTTTTTTTAAGTTTATTTATTTCTTTAAGTGATCTCTACATCCAACGTGGGGCTCAAACTCACAACCCCCAGATCGAGAGTCGCATGCTCTTCTGACTGAGCCAGCCATGCGCCCTGAAATAATTTGTGTTTTAAACCAAGATCAGCCTCATATTTAAGCTTCATATCTGTGTAAGGTGTGTCTTAGGAGCATAATACATAACTGTGAGAAACCATTTGGATGCTAGTGGTTAAGACCACTGCCATCATCAGAATAAACTTACTTATTTTTTAAGAGTAAAACAAGAACTTCAAAACTACATAGTCAACCACTAAGTTTCATATAGGAGGAAAGCAAAGTGGACAACCCAGTGACTTGGCCAGTTTCCAGAAGGGTGAGACCCCCCAGCGACCTACACATTCCAAAAAAATTGGTTTTGCATAAATTCAATAGGATTTCAAACTACCTCCCTGTAATAAAACCCTTATATGGATCTGACCAGCCCTGAAAGCTTTCTGGAGGGTGTGTAATTATGGATGGCACATCCTCATATTTACCCATGTCATTTTGGCTCAAGGTGGAAACCTGGCTAACAGGTGAGTAAAACATTTGCGAACTGAATGATAAAACTGCAGCTGAAAACAGCTCATGCCAGCATGTATACACTTTGCACCCTAAGCCTCCTTTCCAGAAAAATTCTTGAGTTCCATATTTCAAAATGTCAATTTCCACCACAGACCCCGTGGTGTCTTTCTCCCAGTGCCCAGTGTCAGTAGGTGACGGCGAAGTTCGGGTCTGTTGGGAGCCGCGGGCTGGGAGGCTGCCCGCCCCAGTCTTGATGCCGAAGGCGGGTCTGGCTTCTTCCGTGCAGGTGTCGGGTCAGGCGCTGGTTATGTGTCCGCCTCTTTGACCACCTCAAGACTGCACTTCAGGGGCCATCCACCCGGCAGGATGCCTGGCTGTCAGCACCCTCCCCCCCTTTCCCGGGTTAAGCAAAGCACAGTCTGGTTCCGTTATTTATGCGCTGTCCACCGTGCAACCCAGCCCGCCGGGCACGTCTGTGAGACCCGGGGCGGAGCACGGCTGTGGGGGGGCGGGGGGCGGCCGCCAGCGTTTCCCCGTCCCCAGGCGACCGCGAGGCACGCACCTGCAGCCGGCTCCCGGCGCGGCGGCTTACCTTCTCGTGGGCGGACACGGTGGCCAGACAGCCCCAGGCGCTGGCGTGGGCCAGGAAGCGGGCGGTGCCGGGGCGCAGCCTGGGGCCGCTCTCGCGCCGGTAGGAGAACATCCCGGGCGGCGCGGGGGGCGGCCTGGCGCGGGCGGCGCCGGGCGGGGGCGGCAGGTGCGCGTCCTCCTTGTGCGCCGAGGCCGGGAAGCTGCGCTGCCAGATGCTGCCCGAGTCCTCCAGCAGCGCGGGCAGCGCCTCCTCGGTGGAGGCGCTGTCCAGCTCCTCGTCCACCTCGTTGGTGACGGCCCAGGACACCGAGCTCACGATCACGTAGCCCGCGGCCGGCGACAGCAGGGCGCTGCAGCACAGCAGCCAGGAGAGGCGGGTGGCGGGCCGCGCGGGCCGCCGGCCGCGGCGCACCGACATCTTGCAGCGGCGCGCCCTGCCGCGGGCACCGCCTGGAGCGCGCGGGCGGCCGGCGAGAGCGGCAGCGCCCCCCTGCGGCGGGCGTGCGGAACTCCGGACTCGGCTTCCGACCGCCGCAGGATTCCCGGGCGAGGTCCTCACCCCGGGAAGCCCTCGCCGCCTCACGCCCGCCGTGAGAAGTCCAGGCTCCCGGGAAAGCGGATTCCACTCGCACGCTGCACGTCCCGCAGCCGCCGTGCGCAGAGCCCTCACCGCGTGCCAGGCCCGGGGATGGGCTCGTTTCCTGTTGGATGGCACGGGTTCTGCAGCCAGACGGTGGTGGGCGTTCAAATCCCGAATCAACACACTCCCCCAGTCACCAGCTTTGTGACCCTGCCAAGTCACTTAACCTGTCTGTGCCTCAGTTTCTTTATTAGAAAAACAAGCAAACCACAGTATCTAGCTCAGAGAGGTGATGGATGGGACAGTTAAATAAGTTCACCTCTGCAGAGGCTTAGAACAGTGCGTGGCATGGAGCAGGCGTTATATTTTGGTAATAGACAAAGGGAGAGATTGTTACCATTTTAGAGAGGAGTGAACAGTGAAGGTAAGATTAGCACCGAGTCAGTCTGATGCCAAAGCCGATTCCCTTGCTCTGTAAGGATAATGACCGTCTTAACGCTTTGCTCGGACAGGAATGCATTGCTGCCAGTTCATCTGAAAGCAAAATCAAATGTTTACATCATCAACCAAAGTAAAAGGGCACAGACACCCAGAGACAAAGTAGCTGGGATGGACGAGGCAGAGAACTGTATGAATGTACCACAGTTAAGCATTCTCTCATTGGTGGAAATTTGGGCTGTTTCCAATAGTACAGTTTTATAGATAACAACATAATTCTATGTCATTTACACTTTTGAACCTCTGCTTATGGTATTCCCTTATCTGCCCATAAGGAGACATATTCTGCCCTAGATTTCCTATCTAAAATCTAATAGTCCTACTTTCAATTTGTTATGGATCAAAGTTACAAGAATTAGCACCAGACTTTTTGTAGACATTTTGACAAATGTTCCATTGTGCAATAACCAGAAGAGCCGTTGTCTACCCTGCCCTCCATCTACCTCCTCCTTTTTCCTTCTCTTCAAAGCCATTTTTCTTTAAAAAGTCTTAGTCTCCTCAGTGCACATCAAGCTGGCCTCCTCCCATCCCACCCCAAAACACCCTTTCCAGGATGCCCTCTTTCTCTTGATAGTCTCAGGGGGAGTTCTGGTATTCTTCTCCCCACGATCTTGTCTCCTCCCGTGGCTCTGCCGTCCCTATATACCGCTGACTTGCCATCTCTCTCCCTCGCCCCCAGAATGATGTGTGCCACAGTCTTGCAGAGGCGGTATAAGCAAGTCGTTAAAACATGAGCTGTCTCAAATGACTTCAAATGAATTCACATCCTGTTCTATCACCTACTGGCCGTGGATGCAAAATAAGGACAGTTGCATCTATCCCAGTGGCCTAGGAGAAGCACAGAGCAGACCCGCCAGAGATGCACAGCGGTTTGCTCTTCACATGCTCCGCAGGGAGCTGGGCAAGCCTGGCGGCTGACTCCGTCCACCAAGGCTCTTGCTCTTGACGGTGAGGGGTTATGTCTTCCTTTGAGGCTCTGGTGAAGGTGGACGTTTTCCTCCGCCAGCCCCAGCACACGATGTGAAGAAGAAATGCCGGATTCTTAACTGTTCATTGCCAGCAGGAAAAAGTCTAAGCTCCTTAATCCAGTGTATAGGTCCCCTGTAGCCTGGTCCCTGCCTGTGTGTTTGTCCCTGTCTGTCCCCACTGCATCTCCCTTCCAGACTCTGCTGCAGCCATGCCAGCCTCTTTGTGGTGCTATAGTCAGCGAGCACCCGCACTTGGACCAGGTAGATAATACAATTAACATTTTGATCCATTTGTATCCTCACTCTTTATCCCTCTGTTCATTCATCAAGCTACATGATAACAATTCAAAAATATTTTAAGAGATAGGACATATGCAGCAAATACATAAAATACATATGTATAATTTAAAGAACCACTAAAAAGAAAATCTGTTAAAATCACTCAGTGAGGAAATATTACCATGACCATTATCAGTTCCCCAGAAGCTCTCCATCTGCCGCTCTCCCCAAATCACAATCCCCTGCTTCCTCTCCTGGAGGTAATTACTATCTTGACATTTGTGATACACATTTCTTTGCTTCTCTTTACAGTTTGACTTCCTATGTATGCATCTCTCCATGCTATAGATTCATCTTACCTATTTTGAACTTTATATAAATGAAATCATACTTGATGTATTTTTTTGTGTCTTTGTATATTCAGTCAAAATTCTGTTTGTGGGCATCATACTTGTTTTGTTGTTTGTGGCTATATATGGCCGTGTGGTATTGCATTGTGTAGCTATATGACCATTTATTCAAGTATTCTCAGTAGATGTTTTAATAGGTTTTCTTATTCAGATAGGGTGAGGCCAGCAGATCAAGAAATGACAGCCATGGCGAAGGTCATTTATTCTACTCATAGATCCCAAGAAAAGGGATCTTTGACCAATGAGGACAGGAGCCAAAGGATAAATAGTCCCCATTTCCAGGTCACAGGTGGACAATTCACTTCACACAGCTTCTCAGAGGGTGTCCAGCAGGATTGAGCCCCAGTTGCTCGCAGTGCTAACAACTCAATGACCCCCCTTCGAATGGCTTTCCTTCCTCCCTGGTCTAATCATTCTAGTGCACCACTCCTGTTCTTTAGGACTACATCCCAAGAGAAACTACCCGAGTGCCAAGTCCTTGTCTAGACCCAAGCTAAGGCGCTGGTACACACATTCAGGAGTTTCTCTAGAGTGTATACCTTGTTGTAGAATTGCGGCTTGTGCGGTGCAAGTATGCTTAATTTTATTACGTAATGTCAAACTTATTTCCAAAGTGATCGTACCAGTTTACATTGCTGCTATCACTGTGTGAGGGTTTCTACTGCTCCACAGTCTCACCAACACAGATTATTGTTAGATTTTCTGGGTTTTGTCTCCTCCCCCCCCCCCCCGGGCTGGTGGATAAGTAATGAGTAATTTTTATTTATTTTTAAGATTTTATTTGTTTATTTGACACAGAGAGACACAGTGAGAGAGGGAACACAAGCAGGGGGAGTGGGAGAGGGAGAAGCAGGCTTCCCACGGAGCAGGGAGCCCGATGTGGGGCTTGATCCCAGGACCCTGGGATCATGACCTGAGCCGAAGGCAGATGCTCAATGACTGAGCCACCCAGGCTCCCCGAGTAATTTTTATTTTAATGACTAATGTGGTTGGTTGATCACCTTTTCATCCTTTTTTGGCCAATTGGATATCCTCCTTTGTGAAATGCCTGTTAATGTCTTTTGTCCATTTTTATTGGGTGGCCTGTGGGGTTTTTTTTTTTTTTTTTTTTTGTAAGACTTAATTTTATTTTCTGTATTCCAGTCTTTTGGTGTTGAAAAGTGCCAGAGCTTGTCTTTGGGTAGTTGTTAATGCTAATATTTTTACCTATCAACTTCACGGGGCTAAGGGAGGCACAGACAGCTATGAAACATCATTTTTGGGTGTGCCTGTGAGGGTGTTTCCGGGAAGACATTAGCATTTGAGTTAGTAGATGAGGAAAGAAGATGGGTCTCACCAACAGGGGTGGCATCACTCAGTCCTTGAGGGTCTGAATAGAGCTGAGACACCCATCTTCTCCTGCGCTTGGACATCAGCACTCCTGGTTCCCAGGTTTTCCGTTTCAGGCTGGGATTGACTCCATTGACACCCCTGGTTCTCAGAGCTTTGGGTTTGGACCCGGACTACACTGCTGGTTTTCCTGGGCCTACAGCTTGCAAATGGCAGATCTTGGACTTCTCAGGCTCCATAATCACATGAACTAATCCATGTTGTTCTATGTATCAGTAGTGTTTTCCTTTTTATTGGCGACTAATATTCCCTTGTGTGGACATAGCACATTTGTTTATTCATTCAACAGTTGATGGATACTTGTGCTGTTTCCTTTTTTTTTTGCCATTATGCATAAAGCTGCTAATAACATTCACATCCAAGTCTATGTGGGGACACATGTTTTCATTTCTCTTGAGTAAATACTTAAGAACAGGATTGCTGGGTTGTATGGTAATTATAGGTTTACCTTTATAATAAATTGTCAAGCTTTTCCCCCCAAAGTATCTATACCAGTTTGCATTCCCACTGACAACACATGGCAGTTCCTGTTGCTCTACAGCCTGGGCAACACTTGGTATTGAGTGGCTTTTAATTTTAACCATTCTACTGCATATGTAGGGATGTTTCACTGCAGTTTTAATTTACATTTCTCCAATGGATTATTAGCATTGGGCAGCTTTAAAAAAATAAAAAATAAATAAAACTGAGCAAATCTCATGAATAAGTTAAGCCTTATGCCCAACTACTCAATAAAAATATGTATTCTCACCAAAAAACAATATAATGGACAGATTTTTATGTGCTTACTTACTTTTTGTCTATCTTCTTAGGTGAAGTATCTGTTTAACTCTTTATTCATTTAAAAATCTGGTTGTGTCTTCCTATTGTTGAGTTGTGAGAGTTATTTTATATATTCTCCATACCAGTCCTTTGCCAGGTACGTGTTTTGCCAATATTTTCTCCCAGTTCATGGCCTGCATTTCCATTTTCTTACCAGTGTCTTTTGAAGAACAAATATTTATAATTTTGATGACATCTAATTTATCAATTTTTTTCTTTCAGGGTTTGTGCTTTCTGTATCATTTCTAAGAAATCTTTGCCTGACCTAAACCCATGAAAAATATCTTTGATGTTTTATTCTAGAAGCTTAATAGTTTTATCTCTTACATTTAAGTCTATAATCCATTTAAAGACATTTTCTGTATATGGGTGAGGTTCATTTTGTCCCTGCACAGATCAAGTTGATCCACCACTCTTGGTTAAAAAGACTATCCCTTCTCCTGACTTTCATGTAATTATTGTTTTAATGCTG